TCTCCCTCCCTCCCCCGCTCTGTTTTGTCTTTCTCTATCTCTCCCTCTTTTTCTCTCTCTTAATCTGGCTCCTTCTCTTTCTCTCTCTGTTTTTCTTCTCTCTTTCCTTCTCTCTTTCTTGCCCTCTGTCATTCTTTCACTCCCTATATCTCTCTGTCTCTCTCTATGTCTCTCTCTCTCTCTCTCTCTCTCTCTCTCTCTCCCCATCAGTTCCTGTAAAAATGGGTCGTCTCATTGACCCACTTATATGCTTCATGAAAAACCCATTTTTTTTCCTCCTTCGAGCCGCTACGTATGAATATTTTACAGCAGCAACAGCTGAGAAGAAGAGCGGGAGAGTTAGTGGAGTGTGAGATCACTCAGAAATCCAGCATGTGAGCACATTCTGCAGAGAGAGAGAGAGAGAGAGAGAGAGAGAGAGAGACGTCCTCAAACAGGCCAGAGAGCGAGCGTGGATGTTAAGAGAGAGGATTGTCCTCCTATTGGTCCGTTCATCCTGAAATGATCACACACGTAAAGAGCAGCTGTTGATTTCAAATGATGCAAAAAAAAACCCAAGATGTGTCATTTATTCCCGGCAAGCGTCATCATTCAGGATGAAATGAGATATGAGAATTCTAGGCTGATCCTGATATCAAATATTTTACATATACAATCGTGTGCAAAAGTTTGGGCACCCCTGGTCAATTTACTAGTGAAAATAAATGAACACATTAAACACAGAACACACTTCTACACACTCTAATGCACAATTACGGTTTGTTTGCTGAGTTAAACATAGTGGAAAACTAAAATCCATAGTGGAAAAAAACATAAAATGTGGCCTGTGCAAAAGTTCTGGCACATTTTACACTGTATGTTTTCCATTTTGTATAACATGTTCTCTGTAGAGGATGTGTTTTTACTGATTTTCACAACAAAATATATAGTTTGGAATCCAAACTTTTGACTGAGGCTGTATATTTGCATTCATAAAGTGTAAAATTTGGGACATCTATCTGGATTAGCATTACAGAGAAATTTATATTTTTGTTTTATTTAGGGTTATAAATGCAGTAAAATGTATCTGGGTCATTCTATGGAAACGTCCATTTTCATGTCCCTAGTGTTTACAATACATTACACCCTAAAACATGTTCGGGTTACAATTTATTTACATTTTAAAACAAAACAATAAGTTATTTTAACAATTACAACTTCTTGAGCCTCAATTTAGTAATATTGTTTTTTAAATCAGTTATACAGAAATCCAAACACCACAGAAAAGCTCATCCTCACAGTCATGTGTAAAGGGTGAGGCCATATTTTGAAGTAAAAAAAAACATGTTTTTTGCCATTTTAACTACAATAATCGATACATGACTATGAAATATATGATTTAAACGACATAAAGCAAACAAATAAATATTATAAAATGTATAATGAAAGTTGTGGTCCCCAGGAGTCGTGTCACTGGTGTTACTGCGTAACAAAAAATCTCTTATTTTGAAATAAGAATCACACTGATGACATCACTCGACTTCCTTTCACCTGTTTTCTGAGGATCTATGAAGAAAAGCACATGGTGAGTCCACTGTGTCTCTCAGTTATCAGAGATTTTCTCATTTAGCTCATGATTTCATATGAAGCTTTTAGCTGAAGTCACTGGTGTGACCGACTTTATTCTGAGGTAACTGTGAAAAAATAGAATACAAATGGATTAAATTACATATTTTGGTGGATATTCCATAATTGACAACATCTGGTTTGATGCTTTGTAGCAGCCATTTTGTAAAATGCATTTTTCATTAAAAATGTCTCTGGTGTCACCTTTCTTATGTGTAACACCAATGACGATCGGTAACACCAGTGACTCCTATGGATAGATAAAAAAAGTGGACGTTTCTGTAGAATGACCCAGTTAAACTTGATATTTATATATACCGAGCTTTTATTCCAAGTGATTTGTGGAGCATTTCTATTGGTCCATTCATCATAAAGCGTTCAGTGTGGCTGAGGTTTTATGACAGTGATATTGAAAATACTACATTCTCTGGAAATGTTGTTCTGATGCTGAGTTCATCCTGGTTCCATTCTGTAGAATCAGCAGAAAAAGAACCTCCACCCCCAAATTTACATTTATTATCCCGTTATTAATATCAAGCCTTATTATTCAGCAACTGTTATGCATTATTTAGCAACTACTGTGAAGTGTAGGTTTGTATGTTATGTAATAAGGCCTATAGAGTTTAATGGGTTAAAGGACTTGTTCCTCATTAAGGGCAGGTTTCTGGAAGACGTAAACAGTAAAAGCCTGCAGATGAGTTGCCGCTGCGTTCTGCCTGCGGTGGCGAGTTCACTGCGGTTAGGGAGGATTCCTCGAAAGCGCAGGGTTACGTCATCATCACACAGCTGAGCCAAGCACAGCGAGGAAGGTGCATTAAGGAGAGCGCGACTAGAGTTACTTTAAGAGGACAGACCGATGTGCTTTACGCCAATTACAGCTGCTCTGTGTTAGTGTGCTTCACTGGAACTGCTTGGGCAACAGTTAGACTCACTATACACAGTTTTTAAAGGGGGATTCCGCCAGTTTGCCCAGCATAATTCAATTATAGAGGTGTAAACAAAGTCATTCAGAGTGGTTTGATGTGAAATGCTTGATTGTAGAGACTCTTTACAGTGGTGGTGATAGGAACCAGGGGTCACCATGACTACAACACAAATATAGCCATTTTATTTACTATCAAAACCACCAGTGAACCTGCACGAGTCTTCTATGTGATATTTATGATGATAAAATATTGATACATTTGAAAGAGACTGGTTTTCTTTGGGGACTATTTTGCATCACAACACCCTACATGTACACCCCACCATCAGTGGGTTATAGGCCAAAAAAACATGTTGTAAGGCATGTAGAACATGTTTCAGCCACATATTCAGGCAGCATATTCATAACCATTTTGTCTAATAACTTTCTGTGAGGAACCTTTTAGAGGCCAGACGTCTGGTTCCTATCACCAAGCCACTGAATTGACATCTCAACCATTGAATTATGCAGAAATTTTGAAAAAAATGGTGGCATTCCCCTTCTATTGTCACAATATATCAACCTCTTTATAACAGCAATTCATTTGCTGTTGATTTCAGCCCAGAAATGTTACTTGTCCAGGAAAACAATACCACAATAGTTATAAAAAGGCTCCACACTGTGAGAAATAAAGGTGCTGTGCAGGTACATTTTTTGTTCATCAGGGTACAAACAGTGTAAATGTTCCCTCAAAGGTACAACAGTGGTTTTAAGGTCTAATTGTGCACCTAAAATAAGTTTTTTTTCAGGTGAAAAGTTCGTATTTGTACCTTTTCATAACCGAATGTTTTAAAACAGATCAAAAAAATAAAAGTCTGGAGACGAGACAGGGTGTGTGGAGTCAGTACAGCTTAGAAAATACCATTTCAGTGGATTATGGTACAGTTATGTTCCCTGACTAAAGGTACTGAGATGTACCCTTGAGGGTCCCACCCCAGGGACAAGACAGGTCCTGCCCCAGTGACAGTTTCGTACCTTTTTTTCTGAGAGTTTCAGTGTGAAGTTTAAATAGAATTATAACAGTGTTAAAGCACTGAGCTTGAAACAATCCAGATAAGGGCACATTTTAGCAAGCGCTTCTGCATTTGCACAAGTAGACAGTCATTTAATAGTTTTCTGCTGACAACTTCAAGACTTTTTACCATTTTTTTAAAAAACAATATCTTATAAAATTTCCTATAACATGATTATACTGTGAAATCCTACCTACAGGCTAAAGTGTTTCTTTGAGCCTCGTTATAGTTCATGTCAATACAGTGCAGAGAAAGTGTCTCGTTGCTGATTGTGAAATTATACGTCCCTTTCAGCACCACCTTGGCTTTCACCGCCAAGGACACGAGTCGTGAACGAGAACGAGGCCTAAATATGTCCAACTCTGAAAAATGAATCAACCTCCAAGGTGAGGTGAACACACTCTCGCTCGCCGTCCACACCGTGGCACCGTGCCAAAGCCAGAGGGAAACAGTGTGAGGAAGTGAGGGGATCTCCATCAGGACCTGCTAGCGTCCAGTTGGTCAGATATGTATGCGCGAAATGCATATCGCTGCTGTCGGAACAAAACCTTGTAGCTCTATTTTTGTCGTTTTTCAGTTTTTGACATAATTTGAAAACGACTGTCGCCCTTCACACTGTAAATTTCATGCTGAGCGGACGAAAAGAAGCAGCCCAAAATGACAGGGGAAAAAGTCTGGTTCCATTGCCTCACATTAAAAGTAAAGTAGGTTTTTTCTTTCTCCTGTAAAGTTACCATTTTGGAGATACGAGGTTTTGTTCTGAGAACAGTGATATGAAGCCTTATGCATTTAAAACTTATTTCAGTATAACTTAGTTCACAATCATTGTGGATTTACAGCTCTCGTTGTCATCCTGTAATCTTTTTTCATCTATTAATTATTTGGAATATGAAGCCAGAGAGTCTTAGGATCATACTAGAATACTTTTATAAATGTATCTGCTTAAAACTATTGAGAACATTGATTCTGAACTGAACTGCAGTGTATGTGTGCTCTCACCATGTGAGCACTCCTGTACCCCACAGTCTAAAAAATGATGGTTCTTTAAGGGTCTTCAGTTAAACAAATGGTGCTATATAGAACCATGAACTCTCAAAGAACTCATTGCTGTTTTAAAGAGTTCTTTGCATCACTAAACGGTTCTTCAGATACCGAAAAGGGCTCTTCTGTTGTTTCAATGTCAAACCTGTAACAATAGAAGAACCCTTTTTGGTGCTATATAGAACCCTTTTCAAAAAGGTTCTGTATAGAACCATATAAAACACATTCTCCATCGGTCTGATGAACCCATTTATAACGCAAAAGGTCCTTTAAGTGCTCGTGGTTCCATATAGTACCATGGAACCCTTAAAGAACTACCATTTTTAAGTGTTTAGTGTATGCTATTGTATGTTGGTCTGCAAAGCTCACACACTGACCTTTTAACAGCTTCTTCCTGCTTTCTCTTCTTATCGTTTTTCTCCTGAATGCTGGTCCTGCTCTTCTCATTCCACACGTGGTCCAGGTTCTGAGTGACCAGGCCGTTATACGCTCTCAGACCGCTGTCTTCAACATACTGGAAAAATAGCAACGTTTCTTCCTCTTTGGCGCTCATCATGGTTCATACTGACTGGACATTCTGCAAATACAACATGCATCAGTTAATATATAATAATATACACACACATATATATTAATACTCATATACTATATACTTTTACATGTATAAGACCACCCTAAACACATATTTAACAGAAAGGATTATTCAGATCTGAAGCAGCTTGATTTTCTCCTCTCTCACACAGATGAAAGGTTTAAGTGCTGTTTATCTGACGGGGGCAGTTTTGGTGTCTACCAGGTCTTCCAGGTGGTTGCTAGGAGCCCCATTATCCAGCATTATCCATTATAAATGAAATGAATGGGTGGTCTCTCACTTTTGCACAGTACTGTAGCACTTCCACTCACCACTTTATTGAAAACCCACACCTAGTATGTCCGTTAATTGGCCAATGTAATGGGAAACTCCAACCTTATAGGTCCTAACACCTATAAACTCCAACCTTATAGGTGTTAGGTAGCCTGTAATTGTAGGTGTACAATTACAGGCTACCTAACACAAACTGTGCATCACCAGATGAGCTACAGTCTGTAACTGTGCACCAGCAAGGTGGAGCTACAACAGAGGGGTTTCTAATAAAGTGGCCAGTCAGAGCATAAGTAATAAACACTGTCACTTCCTCTGCTGGGCACAGTGTTGCGGTAATAGTTGCGTCATTATGACCACCAGAAGTTGCATCATCCTCTCTTGGGGCGCACACAGTCACAGTTAGGGAAAAACAGCAGCAGTGCATGCAGATCAAGCCTCCCTGCGGTAAAACGCAGTGCTGGAACAAAGAAACTCTCTCCTGAGTGAGAAAGTGAGCTGATAAGAGGCAGGCACAGTTCTGATCCCTCCGAGACTCGTGTTCTTTCTTCGTCCTAGAAGTGACTCTCGCTAACCCATTTGTGTGCGCGGTGTGATTGTTTCTGAACTATTTTAGCTGGGCCCGTGGTGGATTGGCGTGTGCATACGTGAGTATTCTGGGTCAATGAGATTCTTCTGTCAGCACAGGCTCGTTCTCACGCTCGGGGTGATGGGCTTCGGAGTGGTCACTCATACAAAGAGGCCGTTTAGGAGTTGGACTGCTTGTTTATAACTTATAAGGCATTGTTTGGTGTAAGAGTTTAATGTAGTAAGCTCCCCAGACAAAGTATTATGTTTAAGGTGGGGACTAATTTTTTGTCCGGGGATAAAAATCGCTTCACTTCCAGGCAAGAATAGCTTCTAATGGTCAATGCAGGTCCTTCACAACCAATTTCTGAAAGAACACTCACAGTGTCAGTCTTTTGGCCACAATTCTGACAAAAATTTCCTGTAGACTGGGATTTTTGCCATTGCCGGTCGGCCCGTATGCTTTGATACACCTGCAAATTCAGCTACTTCCTTCACACTGTGGCCTTTGACGCCTAATCACTCCGTTTTGCCAATCATTAACATCTGCTTTGCGACCCATTTTCAACACATCGAATGAGACATTCACTGCACTGTACCACCTTTTCTCAATCTATGAATCCTGTCACACACCCCACAGGTATCTATAGCCTGATCATTGTCGTGCAACACCATCTGCAGGAGCCTGAGGTTACTACCACCTTAAACACGCAAGGTTATGTAAGCATTGTTAAAGTTTCAGAATGAACCCCAGTCCATACAGGCCATATATGGAACCTATGCTGCAAAAGCAACCTGTTTTGAATCCATTATTTTGGGGAAGTACATTTACATATACACATCAGTTCAGCCAACAGCCACGCCCATTCATGCTGAAATTTTAAGGAATGTTTCAGGCCAGACTGACGATACAGGGCAGCCAAACATATAATTTACAGTACTGTGCAAAAGGAAGAGCACTCTTCATTTATTCCATTTCCAGTCAAAACACCCATTAAATGCAAGTTATGAATTTTTCAGGAGATATTTCTGAAGAGATTAGATATAAAATATTACACTTGTGCAAGAAAGGAGAAAGACAAAGGTGGAAAAAACAGGAGTTTCCAAAACTGGAGTCCAAAAATGATTAAAAAAAACAGAAAATGTGGCTCCTAACAACCACCTGGAAGACCTGGTAGACACCAAAACTGCCCCCATCAGATAAACAGCACTTAAAGCTTTCATCTTTAAAAGAGAGGAGAAAATCAAGCTGCTTCAGATCTGAAAACATCCACAGGTGTTTCTGTCCATCCTTCCACTGTGAGAAGACGACTCAGCGCTGTGGGTCTGAAAGGATGTGTAGCTGTCAAGAAGAACCTCACCGAGAAAAGGAGACGGACACATCAAACAAAGAAGCTGAACAATGGACTGACCACCCCAGAGTCCAGACCTCAACACCACTGAATGTGTTTGATTACTTCAGAAAATGATCAACCAGCTTCTAAGACTGAACTTTAAAGGTGTATCTGCAGATTTCTTTGAGGAACTGGAAGTGGGTCTCTTGAAAAGAATGGAAGCTGTAATAAAGCTAAAGAGTGGACACACCAAATACTGATATTGTGATAATGTCTTTAGTTGTTGAGGCTTCTGTTAAATATATGCTTTCTGCCTCCACTTAATGGACGTTTTGACTGGAGTTAAATGAATGAAGGGTGGTCTCTGACTTTTGCACAGTAATGTATATTACATCAACCCATTTGTCTTTCAGTTAACTTAGCATTGGTCATAACTGTGTTGATGTTATATATTTTATTCCTGTAGAAAACATGCACAGTGCATTTCTCTCTATGAGCACGAGTGTTTGCAGCACTGCAGTTATGAGCAGTTTCAATAAACTGCAGCGTCCAGTTTTAAGCTTTCTGCCCCGCATGTGTTTGTGTTTACGTGTTTATTCTCACTCATATATGTGTCGTGCAGCAGTGCGGAGTGTGTGTGTGGGCGTGGAAGCGTGATACACATCTGCAGTGTGGAGGGAGAGCCGTTATGTAGGTCAGTGTGTGCAGAGCGGCCCGAGACTGCGAGCATGCTTGTTTATGTGCGAGAGGGGGGATGGAGGAGGGGGCAACGAGGGCAGCCAGATGGGAATTACACGGCCATCTCTGAGACCAGCAACTGTGCAGCATCTTCTACATCCCTTATCTGCGATTAACCCTTTAAACTGCAGTTAGACACGTAAAGACTTATTACTCTGTATCTACTATGAATTATTCAGTATGCTATGAAATTTTCAGTAATTACTATGAATGATTTAGTATCTACTATGAATTACTCAGTATCTACTATGAGTTATTCAGTACCTACTATACGTTGTTCAGTACCTACTATAAATTACTCAGTATTTACTGTGAATTATTGAGTATCTACTATGAAGTATTCACTAACTTCTACAAATTATTTAGTATTTGAATTATTCAGTATCTGAATTATTCTGTATCTATTTTAAATTATTAACTACTATGAATGGACATGTAATTCCCATCTGGCTATCTACTATGAACTATTCAGTATCTGAGTCATTTAGAGCCCATTGTAAATAATTCTGCATCTACTTTAAATTATTCAGTATCTACTTTGAATCATTCAGTACTCACTATAAATTATGTGGTATCGGAGTCCTTTAATCCTTACTATACATTATTCAGTACCTACTATGTATTATTAAGTATCTTCTATGAATTATTCAGTACTTACTATGAAATGTTCTTTAACTACTATGAATTATTCAGTACCTAATACAAATTATTCTGTAATTACTATGAATTATGTATTACCTACTATGAATTATTCAGTATCTACTGTAAATTAATCAGTATCTGCTATGAAATATTCAGCACATACTATAATTATTCAGTATATAATATGAATTATTCAGCATCTACTATGAATTATTCCGTAGCTACTATTCAGTAACTACTATACATTGTTTAGTAACTACTATGAAATTAATGTGTAGGTTATGAGAGTAGATTGAAGACTGGACTCACATATGGACCCATACATTTACCTCTTTAATGCTCTGGTCCTCCCTCCTATAACTTAAGAATAATTTAAATTTGCCTTGCTTTCCATATAATCACTGACTAATGAGCAATGAGGAATTTAAAAGATAAACAGTTTGATTAAAGTCAAATATATTCTTTGATTAGAATAAAGCAAATCAAAATAACAGCTTGGAGTTTAAACGGTTTACCGATTTAATGGCCAGGTTGTGCCAGAGGCTCTGTGCATCTATGACAATATTTTGCCATTACTAAAATTATAGTAATTGTAATTCACATGTAATTACTGAATAATAAGCTTAGGATGCAAAAGCCATGTTAATTCAAGTGGTTAATGTGGGAACAAATAGCTGAGTTGTGGTCAAACGTGGGTGAGAATGTTTATGCTTGGGGTCTTTTACTGCTTTTATACTCGAACAAGACAGTAGGAGCTCATATGGCATCGATCTCATTACTAAATAATTTACTACACATCAGTTACATAGTAGTTACTGAATAATAAGCCACAAGATTAAAAACTGAATAATAAGCCTACATTCTTAGCAAAAAAGATTCTATATAGTACCAAAAATATTCTTCGATATGTAACAATACTGGAACTCTTTTTGGTTCCACATTCTTAAAAGGTTCTTAAAACCCCTTAAAATCCCAGGTTTATTACATACTAAGGCTTATTATTCAGTAACTACAGGGACTTCAGTTCAAACTAGCTGAGCTGTTCTTAAGTTATAGAATTGTGTAATAAAACTTTGGGTCCCTGGTCATTTAAGGGGTGCAAGAACCATATTTAACATCATTTTCCATCATAGAGCATTTTAACCATGCAAAGAACCATTTAAACATTCTCAGCGTTCTTGGTTCTATGTATTACCATTGCTTTTCATGGTGTTCATGGTTCTATGTATTACCATTGCTTTTATCAAAGAACCTTTGAAAGAAGTGTTTTAAATACGTTTTTTTCTTTTAAAAGTTGTATTTTCATAACAAAATAGTGTTGTAAAATTATAAAAACTCAAACTGAATTTCTTCATGTGTACAGTTTTGTCTTTTTGGTGCTCGGTCCACCACAAACAGCACGTTGGTCCCTCAGAACAAAAAGACTGGTCAACCCAGTGTGGAGTTTAAGGGGTTAACTTGACTGCACTGAAAGAAATGATACATTGACTTTACTTGATTCAAATTTGCACATAATTTCCATGTGAATAATGTAAATGAGCAATTGTTCATATAATAATTAGCACTGTTTGTTCATGTGCGCACATTTGAATCAGGGAAACGCAGTGCATCCCTTTTTCCAGTGTGTGATGGTGTTAGAAAGTCACTGTTCCGGCGCCCTCCTGACGGCTGCCTGACTTTAAGCCCCGGAGACGTTTGCTCTCATTAATCCTGTAAGCCAGCCGCTCCGCAGCCGCGGAAAACCAGCCTGTTTATCGCTCCTTGCAAAAGCTCTGCACCTTTTCCCTCCTCTCTCTTCCAGGCTCCTCTCTCTCTCCTTCTACTTTATTACCTCGCCTAACCCTCCCTCTGCTCTGCGCTCCACTTCACCTGCAGCGCTCAGCTCTCCGGGTGCAGCGTAGAGTTTCTAAAATTGGAGAAGGTGACTTGCAAGGCATGTAGCTAAGCAACAGCAAGCCAAGGAGTGACAAAGACTGTGGGAAGTGGACGGAACGAGCAAGAACGTGGCCCAAAGGTGAAGGATTGAGGTCCAGAGGCCAGCCAAAGAGCTGCGTATCTGGACAAAGTTGGTGGACGCTCCTAAAAGTGGAGGTTCCTAAACGGTTCTTGGCTTAGGAACAACATTTAATTGGTGGATCTTCTTTACACTTCAGTTCTTCACACTTGCACATCTGATTTACCAAGTGGTTCTTTAAAGAAGCGAGCCTTTGAAAGGTTCTTTAGGGCCGTGGTTCTCAAACGAGTCCTCAGGGATCCCACGATGGACACATTTTGTGGACCATTTGAGGACCAGCTTCAAAGTTCTTTAAAGGTTCTTTAGTAAAGACAGTGGTTAAACACTAAAGGAATGTTCTGGGACACCATAGAAGAACCACTTCACTAAAGAACCTTTCAATTGTGGGTGTGTTGGTAAACTGAACCTTTTCAACGTTTTAAAGAACCTACTCATGATGCAAAGGTTCTGGGAAGGTTCCTTTGGTAAAGAACCTTGGCATTATTTAAAAGTTCTTTAAACTTTTAAAAGGTTCTTCACACTCACAGATCTCTTTTTCAAACATGGTTCTGTGGGGAACAGATGGCATTGCAAAGAGCCCTTTGTGGAACCTTATTTTTTTAAGTGTTCATAGAACCCGTGAACCTCATTTAATGCATAAATGGTTCTTTGCAGGTTTTTCACTATGACGTAAAACCTGTTGTATACGGTTCTGTAAAGAACCTTTTTAAGAATCATTCTATGTAGCACTTAAATGGGTTCCACTATTACTACAAGTCGTGTATGTGTTTTGTGCACAGGTCTTGTTGCTGCCACCGAAAGGTTCCATTGCTTCTATTCAAAGGTTCTTTAGGGAAGCAAAAGTGGTTCTTCTCTTTTAAGAACATATGCCACAAAGGCTTTCTTTGAATGATGCAAGAGAACCATGCTTCACGTGACTGTGAGGAACCTTTTAAAGACTTTCCAAATCATCACATCATGTAGATGTTCTTTACAAACTTTCTAGAACATTTACATAATGTGAGGGTCCTCTTTATAAACATTTTTCACACCAACAAATCTCATTTTTATATAATGATTCTCTAAAGAACCATCTTTTGAAAGGTTCTTTAGGAAACCAAAAGTGGTTCATTTACAGCATTGTGTAAAGAACCCTTTCCTGGCACTTTTCTTTTTAAGAGTGTTCTGTGGCATTGCTCCAAAGAACCTTTTACAACCACCTGAGTCAACTCAGCGGTTGATGACCAGGTTTAGTAGCTAAAACCTGTGCTGGACTGAGAGGTGACCAACCACGTTCTAGATAGAATTCACAGTATATTGAGGAATCTGTTAATAGAAGAGTTCTGCAAGTGAAGCATGAAGTTACACTTAAAACTGAAGGTGACAAGGGTTCTTTGGAGAAATGCTACGGAAGAACCACTTAAGGTCCTTTTTATTTGTGTGGCTACAATTGAAATTTTTAAAGAACGCTTGTTTGAACAGTCCTTCAGGGAACCGAATGTGGTTCTGCTATTTGAAAAACCTGTTTTGGCACCTTTTTTAAGAAGTACGATTGGCTAACAATGTCCAGCTACAAGTATACTCATAGCAAAAAGGGTTCTATGTACCACCAAAAAACATTCTAGAACTTGTAGTAAACCTTGCTGAAGATGTATAGAACCATTTCTTTAAAAAAAAAAACTGTTCTCTAAGGAACCATATACGATACCCCCCCTACAAATGGTTCTTCAAGGTTTCTTTAGTAAAGGCAGTGGGTCTATATAGAACCTTGAACACTGCAAGAACCATTTGAATACATAAATGGTTCCTTGCATGGTTAAATGGTTCAAAACCTGCTGTATATGGTTCTTAAACAAACTGGAAAAAAAATGGTTCTTAATAGCACCAAAAAGTGTTCCACTACTGCTACATGTCAAAGAACTTTTTTGTGGTACTATATAGAAACATTTATGCATGCAAGTAGTTGTTGTGGTTGTACATATAACCACTGTATTTACTAAAGAACCCTGGAAGAACCGCTTTTTTATTAAGGTGGTATATAAATTTCAATTGCTTAGCAGCAGTAATGCAAAGCAACATCGATTCAGAACAGCAGGCACATCGTAAACACTTAAAAACTTGAAAGTAAAGTTCCTCCAGTGTTCTTTTGCAGTATATTGGCGGTTCTGAGAAGACGTTTAGCACTTACTGCTGGCTGTGGTGCACACCTGTCCAGGTGAAATCCACTGCAACCTCACAAGCTGGGACGATGCATGGAAAAAATCCTGAGAATCCAACTCTAGTCCTGCAAGAAGAACACTGGCCATTGTAAAGTCACAGAGCTGACCATAGAAATCCTTGGGCTTCAGGGACCAAGTGGACCAGGGATGCAGCCCAGGGCTGAAGTTACCCAGCCTGTAGCCCCTTCTCCTGGGCAGCTGGAGACCCTAGAGTTCCCTGGGTCTGTGCAAAACTTAATGCAAGTCCAGGAGATGCTTCCTTCTTCATCTGACCCACCTACACCAGGCTGGACGTCGGAGCACCATCTGAGAAACCTAAAAGCATCTTATTCCACTTCCTTTCCTGCAAAGCACAAGTCGTGCTGAAGCTCGGAAAGCAAGAAAGATCTTAGAACAGAGGAAAAAACAAGCTCCCAAAAGAAAGTCCACATGCATCTGTTTCTAAACAAAATATCCCTCTGCGTGCGAGAGCTGGGCATCTCGTTCTAGGATGCTCCTCTACGTGTGGATGCCACAACAGATTAACTCGAGCACCAAAAACACAAAGAACACGCCTCTGTCCCTCCTCCTTTTCCTTCTCTCCTCCCTCCCTCCCACTCTCGGCTCCTCCGCTCATTCGCCGTTTGCTGCTCTGCTGCCTTCAGCACCGCGGACAGCTCCCTCTAAGCTCTGTTGTTGTTGTGAACAGGCTGTGGGCTGTAGTAAAAGAGGCGGAGCCAAGCTCATATGTCAATCATAGGCCGGTGGGCGTGCCCCTGGCTGATAAACACTGCCAGGGTGTGACCTCATTAGGCTTTGGCAAGTGCGAGCCAGAGCCACTCCCAATCTCCTCAACTAGTAAACAAGACCGCCAGCGAACACACACACACACTGACAGGCACACATACATTCTCTTTCCTCCTTTTCCCCTCACTCTCCAACCAAAACACAAGCTTTTTTGTTTGTTTTTGTCTCTCTTGTTGTGTTGCTGCATTTTTGTGCTTCCGGAAAACGACAATGGAGTTCAATTAATAATTCAAGGCTTCACTGGGACACAGTGAAAAGGCCAGGAACGCATCATGTGTCATCAAAACTGTTTTCTTTAGATGAAGATAAAGGGAAACACATAAAAGAGAGGAGGAAAAAAAGACAAAACAGAGCGTGTGAGGTTTGTTTATGTGACGGATGGCGCTCGGCACAAGGCGAGAGGCGGACAGGGGGCTTGTTCTGATGGATTATCACTGTCGACACAAAGGGATAAGGGGGGCAGTGATCTGTTGTTTTGCACAAGTCCCTCACTGCCCCCACTCCTTTTTTCTATACACTTTCCCCCTCCCTCCCTCCCTCCCTCCCTTCCTCCCTCCATCCCTCCATTTGTGGGTCTGTTCCTGAACAAGCACCCAGCAGAGAGGAATAAAAGGAGGGGGCTGAACTGTGTCAGCAGCCAAAAAGGATCTGTTTACTCACACTGAGGAGGCGTTGGTGCTTCTGAAAACATTACACAGCTTAATGTGACCCCTCTCGAGATGAATTGAGGGGGGGGCAGTTTCACATTCACGGTCAAGGGTGAACATCCCCTGCGTGTTTTGCTGAGCGCGCACAAAGTGGCTCACAAAGGCTAGCATGACCTCTCACCTTTTGCTTTGTGCTGACCTCAAAGGAACAGTTAGAGTTGGTGACAAAGGTCAGTGCACCAAGTTAACAAGCCCCAGGGGTCAACGAAGAGCTGAGAGAAAAAGGGGGCTAGTATACAGGCAGCGTTAACAGTTTTTAAACACCTCAGTGTCACTGCTGGACTGAGAATAGTCCACCAACCAAAAATATCCAGCCAACAGCGTCCTGTGGGCAGCGTCCTGTGACCACCGATGAAGGACTAGAGGATGACCAACACAAACTGTGCAGCAGCAGATGAGCTATTATCTCTGGCTTTACATCTACAAGGTGGACTGACAAGGTAGGAGTGTCTACTAGAGTGGACAGTGAGTGGACACAGTGTTTAAAAACTCCAGCAGCACTGCTGTGTCTGATCCACTCGTACCAGCACAACACACACTAACACACCACCACGTCAGTGTTACTGCAGTGCTGAGAATGATCCACCACCCAAAAAGCTGCTCTGTGAGGGTCCATGGGGGTCCCGACCACTGAAGAACAGGGTAAAAGGGGGCTAACAAAGTATGCAGAGAAACAGATGGACTACAGTCTGTAACTGTAGAACTACAAAGTGCACCTATATAGTAAGTGGAGCTGATAAAATGGACATTGAGCATAGAAACAAGGAGGTGGTCATAATGTTATGCCTGATCAGTCTATGTATATGCTATTTTCCCTCTGACTGAAACATATTGGTCAGGCAACCGCTCACATTCAAAACATGACTGGTTGATCCGCTATCAGTTCCTATGGTAGTCCATAATCTGAGACCTCACTGTCAGGTTTTGGTTGGAAACAAAAGGCTTACACTCGTAAAACTTCCAGTAAAAATAGAAAAATTAAAATAAAAAAACTGGTATCTGGGCAGCTACAGTCAAGTTCGCTCTCCCATTGATTAGGACTTCAGGAGCTGAACCGAAGGCCTTACACACTACATTCTGAAAAAGATGGCTCTTTAAGGGTTCATTAGTAAAGAAAATAGTTCTATGTAGCACCATGAACACTCAAAGAACACTTTGCATGATAGAAGGGTTCTTTGCATCTTGAAACGGTTCTTCAGATTAATGGACAATGTGCTGTACATGGTTCTTCTACTGTTACGATGTCAAGCTTGTAACAATGGAAAAAACATTTTTGGGTGCTTTATAGAACCAACATAATTAGGAAGTGACAGTTACAAAGTCACCTTAAAATAGGACCAATTTTTGCGGAAAAAAAAAAAACCTTTTGGAAGTTCTAGATACGTCACTCACTGTCCATGTGAACAGTAGTCTAACCAGGTTTGAGTCAGTTAGAAATGGTAAACTGCAGCAGCTCTGTTTCCTTGTCTGGTCTGTTTAGGATGTTATATGTTATACAAGTGTGACTCGCCAAGACAATATGTACTGTAAAAGTTACTGTAAATCTAATACAAGGTAAAATATATGTTAATGTCAGTTACAAGTTTCAAATAAAACATATGGACTGTCTTTTACAAGCTTCAGATATTTGTGTTTAATGCAGAACAGTCAAATGTTCAATGCTCCAACATTAGCTTGATGCTAACATATTACTAGAAATCCCATAGGGGAGCTATAGACAGAGTTTTATCATAAAAATGTTTTTTGTGTGTTTCAGGACTGAGTTTTGATATTTATGGACCAAACTAAAGGCCTAGCTGTGATAGTCACAGTTCACCACTAGATTTAGCCATTCGGTTAGCACAGCGCTGATTTGTGCACATAAGCTTTTGTTACCTGTTAGCTACTCTAGCCTCATAGCTCCAGTGCAAAACATGTCTTGGCCGACTACGTTTGTGTTAAGGGGGGAAATGTGTGTAAATTAGATTTTTAGCCAAGCCGTCTCTGAGTTAACTAGATTTGAGACTGCCTGGTTGCTGTCTGCAGAATGAGGTCATTGAGTGGTGGTCTGCTTTTTTTTCTTTTCTTTTTTTTTATCATCTTCCATGCACAGATAGGTGTGGACCATGCAGACCAGTGGATGAAGAGAGGCCATTTAAAAGATGACAGGCTCTCATTAAACTTTCACAGCACCTTATTTCCACATCCATGGCTCGCCCACCAAAGTGGGACACCAGTTATGTTACCTTTACCCCACCCAGACCACTCAGACTGGCATTCTAGGTCATACATGTTATCCATTTTACTCACAAAAGAACTCACAAAAACAAGTGCACCAATGCCACCAATGCACCAATGCCACAAATGCAGGTTGCAATGTGTACACATAACATAATGAATGGATCAATAGAAATGAATGTACATTAACAGACTTTATAGTTAAAGGGGAATTCCACTCATTTTTCTAAATTTCTGCATAATTAAATGGTTAAGATGTAGACAAAGCCATTCAGGGTGGTTTGGTGTGAAATGCTCTGTTTTAGAGAAACTTACTGAGTCAGAACTGTTCACAGTGGTGGTGATAGGAACTAGACGTCCACCTCTAAAAGCTCCCTCACAGAGAGTTATGTCTGATGTCTGAAACAATAGTTTTTACAATAGTTTTGGCCTAAAATGTATTTTGTGATATGCATTCATAGTGGAGATGTACATGCAGGACATTGTAAAGCAAAATAAAGTGCACACAGTACTTATCTTTTAAGGTTTACCACTGTTTTACCCTCATCAACACTACATATCGCTGCTGTCGGAAGAAAACTTCGTATCTCCAAAATGGCAACTTTACAGGAGAAGATTAAAACCTACTTTACTTTTAATGTAAGTCAATGGAACCAGACTTTTTTCCAAGTCATTTTGGGTCATTTCTTTTAGCCCATTCACCATGAAATTTACATATGATGTAAAGGGCAACAAGCATTTTCAAATTATGTCAAAAACCTCAAAAGTGGAGATACAAGGTTTTTTTCCGACAACAGCGATATAAAAAATTGCTTTAATAAATAAAATGGCTACATTTGTGTGACCCCTGGTTCCTATCACCATCATTGTAAAGAAATCAGATTCCGATTGTTTTTCTACAATGAACTATTTCACATCAAACCACTCTGAATGACTCCTATAGAAGAAAGAAGTTTGTATATCCTGGATATACGACATTTCATTATAACAGTGAGAATTTGTGGCTCTGAGAGAAGAACTCATGGTTCAGTGTTCATAGTTAGGAGCCAGAAACTGTTCCAGTGGCTTAAACATAAAAATACCTGTGTAAAATGACACATACAAGGTGTTAAAACACCTCGTTAACACATTAACATGAACATGCACCCTCCCCACCCCCACGGCCATGAGTTGACACGTCTGCTCTAGAAGGCGAACCCCACAGCGGAGGTGAAAACAGGGGGCTAGTACCATAATCCCCTGAAACAGTCAGGGTGGCCAAGTGGAGCCAGGGGTTTTAACCCACTGTAAGCCATTAAATCCAGTTTTCAGGGGCGCAAATGATGCACTAATGCCACCGCAGACAAAATGCTGCCGTGTGATTTGCGCTCCCTAAAAGCAACCCAGAGCCGAC